AGGGCAGGAATCGTGCTTCTGCCAATGCTTAGCCTGGAATATAGTAAGCACTTAATGAATGTTTTAATTTTACCTTTATGATTCCAGCAAACAGTGGTTTCTAGCACAGAGCAGGCACTTACCTGCTTTATGGATTCTTTTTAAAAAAAAAGAAATCAATTTACTCATCTTTTGTTTTTTTAATCACCTGTATTTCCTACTTTATTCCTCCATCATATCCTCCAGAAGAACTCTCTCTTACAATAAATTTTAAGAGGAAGAAAAATAAGTTTAGCAAAACTAGCATTTTAAAAACATCTGATATTATACTTCAGTGTTCTATGCCCATGATCCCTCACCTTTGCAAAATAACTATAGTAATAATGATGATGATGATGATGATGATGATGATGATGATAATAGTAATAATGAGAGGCATCTCCTCATATGATTCTCAGAATGATGTAACCAGTCCAACAGTTTCTATTTGATTGAAGAGACTTTACAAATCCTCTGGCTACTACAGCAATTACAACTTACACATACAACAAAAGGATTGCTGGGGAGCAGGGAGTTACCAGCTACCACAACTCATCTCTTGTTCCTCTAAAACTTACTGAATGATCTTGTTTCTGATAGTACCTGTCACTCCATACTATCATTCCTCAGAGCACAAGCAGTTGCTTCTTCTTCAAAGGGTCCAATTCTTTCTCCTTTGGGAGGAGCTTCACATCTGCTACTTAGTTACAAGTGTTCAATGGTCCTTGTAGTTTTTTTTTAATTTAACATTATTTTTTTCAATTAACAAAAATTTATTTTCTCTTCTTCTACCACCACCCCATTGGAAATAAAAGAAAAAAATAAAACCTTTGTAACAAATATAAACAGTCAAGCAAAACAAATTTCTACATTGTGGCTATGTACAAAAAGTATGCCTCAATCTGCACTCTGAGTTTACCACTTTTTTAGGAATTGAAGAACACTAGTGGTCCTCTGCAATCATGGTTGGTCACTGAATCGATAGAGATCTTTAGTTTTTCAAAGTTGTTTATTTTTACAATGCTATTATTGTATAAATTGTTCTCATGGTTCTGCTTACTTCTGTCACAAGGGTTCTCTCAAACTGTCCCTTTCATTATTTCTTACAACACAATAATATTATATCACATTCATATACCGTATGTTCAGCTATTTCCCAACTGATGGTCACCCTTTGGTGTCCAGTTCTTTGCCACCATAAAATATGGATCCTTTCTCTCTTTCCTGGATTTCTTTGGGATCCAGAAATGGTATTGTTGGATGAAAAGATAAGAAAAATTTAACAACTTTTTAGGTGAGTTACAAACTGTTTTCCAAAATGGCTAGATCAGGGGTGAGGAACCTATAGCCTCAAGGCCACATGCGGCCTTCTAGGTTTTAAGTGCAACCCTTTGAATCCAAATTTCACAGAACAAATCCCCTTAATAAAAAGATTTGTTCTGTAAAACTTGGACTTGGTAAAAAGGCTGCACGCAGGGACCTACAAGGCCCATAACTGGCCTCAAAACTGCAGGTTCTCCACGCCTGGGCTAGACCAACCCACAAGTCCACTAACTACGCATTAATGTGCCTGCTTTTTCTTGTGGCTATTGACATTTATTTTTTCCTTAGAAAACTGTTCTTAGGAGCAGGTATGTGGTGCAGTGGAATAGACCTCCAACGCTGGAATCAGGAGGACATGAATTCAAATCTGGCCTCAGACACTTGACACTTACTAGCTGTGTGACCCTGGGCAAGTCACTCAACCCCTATTGCCTCACCAAAAAGCAAAAAACAAAAACAAAAAACAAAAACAACAAAAAAACCTGTTTCAAGTTCTTCTGATAAAGATCTCATTTCTCAACTATAAAAGGAATTTAAGTTCTAAGAATAAGAGACAAATAAATGGTCAAATGATATAAAAAAGAAATGTAACCTATACGACATAAGTTTTGATGTTTCATATTTGTAAGAAAAAGGCTCCAAATTAATAATAAGAGAAATGAAAACTAAAACAACTCAGAGGTTCCATCTCATCCATCAGATGGGCAAAGTTGACAAAAAAAAAAAGGGAAATGAAAAATGTTGGAAGAGAGGCAGAAAAACCTGCATATTGATGCAATGTTGGTGTGAACTGATAAAGACAATGTGAAAAGCAACTTGGAACTAAGCCCCCCCAAGTTACAAAACTATGCATATCCTTTGACTCAGCAAAACTGCTATTAGGTTTGTACTCCAAGGAGATGGAAAAAAAAGGAAAAAGTCCTATATGTACAAAAACATTTACAACAGTTCCGTGTGGTGGCAAAGAAATGGAAACTAAGGGGGTGCCCATTAATTGGGGCTAAACAAATTGCGGTCTATTAGAGTTAATGGCATGTAACTGTGTTGTACAATAAAGAGGTCTCAGAGAAGATTTGTATGCACTGATGCACAGTAAGTAAGCAGAACTAGGAGAACAATTTATGCTCTAACATCAACACTGTAAAAATGAACAATTACCAAAGACATAAGGACTGATCAATCATAATTCCAGAGGACCAATTACGAAGAAGATGGCTACTCAGTTCTAGACAGAGAGTTAAAGGATTAATATGCAAAATTAAATATATTTCTGGTCATAGCAAACAAGAGAATTTATTTAACTTCACTGTTACAGTTTAGTTTTTCTTTTTCCCATCTCTTTAGGAGGTACGGGGTAAGGGGAAAAATAAATGCTTGGTAATTAAAAAGAGAATTTAAAATTTTAATACTGATTGTTTTTATCCTTTCATCATTTATCCACTGTAGAATCTCTTATTCTTATGAATTTGAATAGTCCCTTATGGTTTCCACAGATTTAAATCCGGAACCTCCAAGGTTATCTAGGTCAAATCCCTAGTTTTACAGATGACTTGAGCCTTTGTGGTACATTTTTCTACTCTTTAGCCTTCTGGCATCCATCAGGATTCCTCCCTGCAAACTTTTAAGACTTTCTCTTCATAATAAAGCCCTTCTTTAGTTTTGGGTATTCCTTCTTCCTGATCATCTGGATAGGAATTACTTGAGCCTTTCATTTCAGACGACTGAAAAAGCTTCACTTTGAGTATAGATACAATGAATACGACAAAGATAAACACTACACATTTTATGTCTTAAATGACTAATGCATTCATTGTTTACTATATATGCCTGGCACTGTCCTAAGTGCTGGCAATACAAAGATGCTTCCTACTCTCAAGGAGCTTACATTCTAATAGGAAAGTCACAATAAAGGGAAGCTAGAAAAGAGGGGTGAGGGGGAAATTCCTGGGGGTGCCAAGCAGCAGGTTATGGAGATGAGGTGTGGGGGTAAGCTGGAAGAGGACAGTTAGCAGCATGGCTGGGTTTTCTCATGATATGGCAGTTCCAGGTAGAGATTCACCAATTACTGAGTTAGCTTCAGGGTCAAGTCATCCCCAGGGGGTCAGGGAGACAGGCAGCCATAGAGTGAAAGTGAAACACACTGGCATGTAGGTAGAACATACTGGAGAGTAATCTACAAGTGAAGAGTAAGTGGGACTTCTAATGACATGGTGGTAACAGGAAGGGAGTCATCAATCATTTAGGTAGAGTTATCCCTAGGGGGCCATGCAGGTACAGAGGTTTATGCAGCTATTACAAAACTCTTGCTCTCCAAACGTACGGCAAGAGAGATCTTCAGTATTTTGCTGTTCTTGCTGGCAGACACCCTGGAAATCTGCTGGAGTAAACTGTTTCTGGGGGAATTAATTCCAGATTTGTCACTCTCCTTATTAGCACCTTAGCATTTCAACTTTCTTTCTCTTCTCTTACTAACTTCTTAGCATATCTCACCAACTTCCTTTCCTTCTTCCTTAATTTCTTCTCTTCAAAGGTTTTCCATATTCTTCAATAACAAGTGAGGCTTTAAGTAGGGAGGCAAGCTGGATAAGGACATTTGCCCTTACCATGGAGAGTAATTGGTACAAAGTTCAAACGAAAGAGGGCCTTCCAATAAATATTTAAATTTTCCAGATAACTCCTGCTTTGTGAGTAACACTACTAACTGCATAAAGTTCCTGAAAGAAAATTATAAGGTCTGCTCAATGAGCTCCTTGGCTATGAAAGCGAATTCACAGAAAAAAAATTTACTTAGGAGTCCACACAGGAAAAAACAAAAAGATGGCAAATGCATATTTCCGAGATGTAGAGAGTAAGTTAAATGAACAGGCCACCGAGTTAATGTATTAGGGCATAACATAGGAAGACACTGATATAGTCAAGAATTGAACACAAGTTAGAGAGTAGGTTGAGTTTTATTTTGAAAGTTGTACAGCATTGTCCACAATCTCACCTTGTTTTTTTGGCCCCAAAGTTCACTTTGTTAGAATCATAGAATCTTTGTGATAGGACCTGAGAAATCAGTTAATCCGATTCCCTCATTTTATGAATAAGTAAACTGACACTCAGAGAGGACACCTATTTTGTTCAAAGTCACACATATAAAGTTGAAATTTAAACTCAGGTACTCTGATCCTAAATTCAGCACTCTTTCCACTGTTATAATGCCCCCTGCATTTGGTCACAAAGCAAGGAAAGCAAAAGTTTTTAATAGAATAAAAATTTTAAGTGACCCAAAATGGGAAGGGAAGACACATGGTGGGTTATTAAAGAGGCTAAAACATATTATTGATGATGACTTACATGGAAAGAAGTGGCAAAAAGATATGACTAGAAAAGGAGGTGCACATTACACAGGAAGAGAGGAGGACCAAAGCCGAAGAGAGTTTGAACACTACCCTGGTATCTATGAAATAGTTAAAGTAAACACAGGCCAAAACAGTGCAGAACTACAAGGTATGGGTGAGTTGCAATTTGCACTGGGTGGAGGCAGTACCCACAATATTGAGTTCATGTATCCATGGAAGTATTTCAATCTCAAACTGGATACTTCTGTCACACATGCCCATTTATCTTTTGGAAACCGAAATATGAAGGGCCCCAGAAGGGCCCTAGATACTTACCAACTGAAGATAAAAATCAGAAGGATTATTTATGTGACAAACCACGACTGACACATTTGACAATTCTTTTGGTAATACAGGTGAATGGTATCTTAAGGTCATATTCTGTTCGGGTGGAATACTGGGCGACTGTGTAAACCTATGGATAATTAAAAGAACAACCAAAAGATAAATCAATTGTTAATTTTAAAAATTGTTTTCAAATTTCTACTGTGTTCCAGTGACTATCTCTGAAAAAAAGGCATGGATATTTAAATCTTTAATTACCTAACATAAACTAGGTAATTCTCAACTTGTCAATTTTAAATGTTATTTAGCCCTCTCTTTAATCCCTATTATGAGATTTCAGTATTCTACTTAACCTCAAACTGAATTACAAAACAGTAGAGGTAAAAGTTAAGCTGTGCCCTCTACAAAAAACCAAAACAAAAAAAAGAAATTTTACAGTCACGCACTTGGATGTATATTTATAGTTATGTACACAACAAACATAAAAATAATTTCTAAGTGTTAGCTGAAGTAATCCCACACAGTTTCTGTGATTTAGACTATCTTTCTTAAGTAAATCAACCCTCATTTAATTACCAAGGTCCTGTCTGAGACCTTCTCTAGGATACCTGTCTTTCAGTAGTGATCTTAAACAAAGATGTTCCTAGTCATATTATCCATACTCTCCCAGGAAGAATGCTGAATGACTGAATCCAAACTTCAGAGAACAAATCCCCTTAATAAAAGGATTTGTTCTGTAAAACTTGAACTCAGTCATTCAGCACTACTTGAGGACCTAGAGGGCTACATGTGGCCTCGAGGCTACAGGTTCCCCATCCCTGGTATGGAGAGTATGAATAATATGACTAGTATAGAGCCTATACATTGCACACCTTAAGACTTACTTTAAAAATAATTCATTTTAATAGTAATTACTTTAAATAAGCATGTCTTGTTAGCAGTACATCTCATACATAACTGAGGGGGCAAGGAGGGAAAAAGTCCAAGTGGTATATAACCAGGATCACAGTGAAAGATGCAAAAAGTGCTCACTGTCTTATTATTTCCAAGACCAGTGATTTAACTCAATAACTATGATCCCTGAAAATATAGAATTTCATAAGATTACTGGGTACACTAAAGAAACAATCATCTATATTTAAAACTTTTATTCACATTTTGAATCATAATGCACCAACTTAAAACTTGGTCTCTAAGGGCAGCAAGGTGGTGCAGTGGATAGAAGACCGGCCCTGAAGTCAGGAGGACCTGAGTTCAAATCTGAACTCAGACCAAACACTTGACACTTACTAGCTGTGTGACCCTGGGCAAGCCATTTAACCCCAACTGCCTTAAAAAAAAAGTTAAAAAACAAAACAAAACAAAAAAACCAACAAAAAACTTGGTCTCCCTATCCCCTGTAGCTAATAAACCAAAGAATTTAAACTTTTGTAGTCATGGAATATGGCTATAGCAGCAGATGATAGATAGTATGTTAGACCTATGCAGCAGTCTGAAGCTAACTGTGACTTCAAATCCCTTGGTTTTTTAAATACATGATTTTTTTAAAGATGAAAAAATGCTGTTCTTAAAGCCCTGATCTAAAATAACAAGCTATCTTCTCAAATAAGACACATACCTTGCTAATTCCATAAAAACTAATGCATCTCTAAGAGATACTGGCATATCACTGCTTATTTTATTTGCCGGAGGTTTCTTGAGATCTACAATAAGCACACCATCTTCTTCTCTAAAGACTTTCATCAGAACAGCTTTGTTGTTTACCATTTTTAAAAATTCCATTTTAGCTTCTTCTCCCCAGCCTTCACTCTATGGAATAAATAAAAATCAAAAGTCAATGTAAGTATTATAATACTGTTATAACAACACTTTGTCTGGAAAGAGATTGTGGTTTTTTTCTCTACAGAATATAATCCTAAACAAAAGTATTAGTCTGATCATCAATTTAAGCATATAATGAAAAAAAGCAGATGCCATCAGAAACCAAAAGACATTACAACGTGTTTCTCATATGCTGACTTTTCAGCCTATGCTAACAGAACTAACCATATCAAGTGATGTTTATCATCATGACATAGCGGAAGAAAGAAAATCTGGGATGGACTATATGTTATATATCATGGACAAGTTATTTTATCTCGCTAAGGGTCAGTTTCAAAGAGATACTACTACTTGTCACAGGCAATGTGGATCAATCCTGGAGTTGAGAAGACCTGGGTTCAAATGTTCTGACACATAACCAGTTATACATGACCAGACAAGTCACCTAATCTCTCAGTCACCCAGGTAACTCTCTATGACTAAAAATTACAAATGAGTTACACAAAAATTGCCTAAATGTGAATTTCCCATGTCGATGAAAGAGAAAGAGGCCACCTTTTGAAATAAATTACTATATCTTAGAAACTGACCTTCATTTTGGTTAAAGTGAGAAGTCACATTTTGTCTTTGTCTCCTCACCACTTCACCTCTTGCATCTAGGCTAATAAAATAGTCCCATTTCCAGCTATTAAGAAGTTCTACATTAAGGCTGAAATGCAAACTGGTCCACCTGTGAGGTTAATGCTAATCAAAGCTAGCCGTAATTCCAGATCAGGGGTTGGGATGATTGGAGGGGCCTGTTTTCTTAATGGGGTCTCTCTGTGGCCACATGCATGTGTCTATCTTCAGTGTTTGTTTCTTTTTTTAAAAAAGTATTTCTTTAATAAAGTTTCTCCTGGCCTAATTATGAGCAAGATGTCGGTACCCTGGTGGAAACCCCTCCCCCCACAAAAAACATACCAAAAAACCCCAACAAATACTTGCACTACCTACTTCACTAGATTGTGAGGAAAACACTCTGTAAAACCATAAAGGACTATTTAAATGTAAGCTGTTTTGTTACACAATTTATAGTAAAAGAAGTGTGAAGTTAAATAAAGGCTCTGAACAGTCTACTAAAAAACTGATCAAAGGATAACTAAGAAAGATTTATAGAAGCTCTATAATAAAACCCTATTCCTCCAGACACATATACCTCTTTGTTAGTATTATTTGATTACTATTTGCTTGCCCATTTCCTTCATAAAAGGATATGTGAATGGATTAAAAAAAATCATAGTGAAAAGGCACTGTCATCAAGAACAAAGATGGAAGAGATTAGCCTTGGAGAGCAGGAATATTCATTTCCTCAGTTGGAAAGTAGAGGAAGGACAAGAGAAATTTCTAGAATGGGAGAAGCGAACTGAGCTTGTAACACATGGCTCTGACACTGACAGTTGACGGTTAACTTTTAGGTGAATAAGCACACATAATCAACAATGTGATTCATTGGAGATTATATTTTAGAGCAATGAACAAAACCCTAAGGTCAATATTCGTCAGTTGACTAAAAATTAATTCACTTTTATCATTTATTTGGAAAACATTTTATACGAATTCGAGCAAACAAATAAAAGCAAAATCAGGGGAAATATTTTAGCTATGCAAGCTGAAGTTATTTTTTTTTAAACTGGCTCTTGTATATTCAATATGTAAAAATCCTTTCTGCACACTCCAATTCTATTGCCAGCTCACATGTAATATTTAAAATTTCTTTTAACCTAAGAGAAGCTATTCTTAATACTAATTAACATTTGTTGATTTAATTACTCACCGAATTTTGTGGAACAATATCCTTTAATGCACATGACAATGCTAATGGATGGAGATCTCCTAGCATTCCTTCAATATATGAATCAGGCTTTCTTATAACCATACATAGATCATTTACCACTAAATGTGGCAGAGTACTGAATCCTGGTCTAACTATGTGGCCATCACCAATCCTAGCAAAATTTAAGCAACATTGTTAGAAACAGTTAATTCAGCCCTGAATTTTTATCCATTCCCAAAGTTACCTATGCTTAAAATTTAAAAGAATGACAGAGACATTAGTCCAACTTCCTTATTTTACAAATGAAGAATCTGATTATAAGAGAAAGGAAGTGACTTGCCTGAGGTCCCACAGGTAGTATGTGATGGAGGTGGGCTCTGAACCCAGATTTTCTGACTCCAAATTCAGTGTTCTTTCCACTATACTGTGCTGTCTTTCATTAATAAACAGGAATGCCTTAGTGATCGATCAAATTTCAATTTACTTATAAAAACTGACCAATGAAGTTCCACTGTTACATTTATTGATTAATTCATAACAGGTCTGTGCCAGTGACAGGTTGGTTTCTCATAGAAATATTTTCTACTCATTTTTAATTGATGTAGGCCATTTGCTACCCAAATGGCAGATAAATATATTTAACTTAATCATATTTTACTTTTAAAATCATACTGCAACTAACCATAAGTATTATTTTATTTTGGAGATTAAACAAACAAACCATTTCCCTCAAGTTTCCCAACATTTTTTAAACTGACGAATAACTTTCCCCAATTTATTAAGAAATGAAGGAATGAGGGAAAAGCAAAACAAATTAGTTGTGGAATTGTGAGGTTCTTGATAAGTTATCTGTACATATAAATCTTTTTCTACCTCTTTTTTCCCCAATTCATTTAAGTAGGACATAAAACACAGACAAAAGGAATTAGAAATGTCATACCCTGAAACAGCTAAGACTTCAGAATTCCCAAAGTCTATCATGAAAATTTGCATCAGTGCAACATCACGGATTGGATATTTGGTAGGACCACAGGGCTTCCCTACATTTTTACTTTCAACAGGAATTAGTTCAGTGATAGTTCCACGGCACCACATTCCATTTTCTATACTGTTGACAAATATCTTTGCACCTAAAGAGATTGAAAAATATATCAAACTTTTAAGGATAAAATGAAAAAAATTTTTAAAAGGTGCAAAAACCCTTTTGCTTTAATATCAAGTAAATTAACTTTACTTTGACACAGATTTAGATACACATTTGTTCATTTAATTTTTTACATGCAAAGTATTTCAGGGGTCACCAAAAAAAAAGTACAAGATATGGTTTCTGGACTTCTCTTAGACTTTGTAATCTGGTTGTAGAAATAATTACACAAAACAGTTAAAAGAATGCAAGGCAAGCACATGAAAATCTAAAAAGGAGTAGTATGGATAATAAGTTATGTAAGAATTAAGAGAAGATTGAAATCATTGGGAACTGGTCAGGGATTAGTTTTGATACACTATTTCACTGGCTTCCAGAATGCCACTCTTTCTTGGATATCTTTCTGTTCCCCTTCTGTTTCCTGTAACTTTACTGTTCTCTTCCTTTTATGTAGGTGATCCCTAAGGCTCATACCCCTCCCCTCATCTCTCTAAAAAGAAATCTGTCTTTCTTGATTTCCCAGTTATTAGTGTTCTCCCTCTTCTCAAAATAACTTACATTTAACTATTCAATTTAGCAAACATTTATTAAGGCATTGTATTAGGTGCTAGGATATAAAGACAAAATGAAACTGTCACCAAGGACCTTGCAGTCCACTGGGAATAACACATATGCAAGGTAATATAAAATAATTTCAAGCGAGAGAGTACTAAAAATTAGTTATGGTAGCATGAAAAAAGAAGTTAAGACGTGGTAGCTAAGCTGTGCTCTGATGGAAACAAGGATTCTGTAAGAAAGGAATCTATTCCAAGCAAGGAGAGGACCAACCACTTCTACAAAGGTAGAAGACAGAATCTCAATTTTATCATAATAGCTAGCAAACCAGTTTTACTAGAATGGACAATGGGTAAAGGGAAGTAATATGAATTAAGAATGGTAAAATAAGTAGGAGCCAGATTGTGTAGGCCAAGCTGAGGATTTTTTATTTTACCCTAAAGGCAATAGGGGTTCAAAGATTTCTTAGTGGGAGTGACACAGTCAAATTTACTCTTCAAATATAATAATAATTTGGCAGCTGTATGAGACATGTTGGCATACTGGACAGAGAGCTAGCCTCAAAAAAAGAAAGATCCGTCAGATTTATCTCTGAATCATACTGTCTATGTGACCATGGGCAAGTCAATAAACTTCTCAGTGTTCCACGCAATTCTTTAAGACAAAGAGAAGGTGATGACTTTCACTAGTAGAGTTTCCTCACCTAGAATTTCCCTTACTACACCAATGAAATCACTGGTCTAGTCTCTAGAAGAGAACTGGAGAGGGAAGAGACTGGAGGGCAAGAGAGGCAAAAAAGAAGGTCCTTTCAAAAGACAAAGTGAGAGATTTTAAGGTCTCAAATTAGGACAGAGGCAGAGTGGATATAAGGGGATGGATGTAACAGATGTGGATATATGATAGAGAACTGACTTGGCAACTGCTTGCATGTAAAGATTATGAGAAATGGAGGAGTCATGGATGAACCTGGGTAACTGGAAGGGAAGTAAGAATCAAAAAGTATTCAAGTGCTTACTAGGTTGCCAAGTACTGTGCTAAGTGTTTGGGAGATGAAACTAAGCTTCCATTCTAATGGAGACAGACAACATACTTTTATAGGGAAAAGTATGCAGAGGTGTGTTTTAGTTTGAAAAATTACAGGAATGGTTGAGTAGAGCCAGAATGGGATACAGTGGACAAAGAGTCATAGTGGATACTCACTTTCAAGGATGAAGTTGCCACCGACAGAAAAGGGGAATTTTGGATGGAGCATTGGTCTTAAGGGAAATAAAATAAGCTGTGTTTTGGAGATGTCAAATTTGAGATGCCACTGGGAGATTCAAGTAGAGAGATTTAGCAAGCAGCTAGAACTGATGTTTAGGAAAGATTATTGTAGATATACAGACTGCAAGTTATCTCATGTACATAACAGAACCTATGAATGTTGAGATCACCAAAACAGAAAATACAGAGAACAGAGTGTCCAGGAAAGAGCCTTTAAGGGGGTATCAACGTGACTTTAGCAGGTACATTTAGTCATGGAACATGATCTAAATATATTACTATCAAATTGCTAACTAATTTTCCCAAATATATTTGAAAAACAATGAACTTGCCATCAGCTTATCAAATACCAATCTTTAATATGTTTATTGCATCTATTCCATCATCCTACTTCGCTTTTTCCCCCTGCAGCAGATGTTCTTGATGATATGTGATCACTATAAATGCATCAATGCTAGAATATAAGCCCACTGTCATTGTGTGCCCTTGGTATTCTTTCCTGTTTTATAATATAAATTTCATTATGATTCTATTAAGCTCTATAAGGAAACCCTTTGGTATTTTAGTTGGCATTATATTAAAGTGCAATTAATTTAGGACTGTTGTCACTTACTATATTAAGGTGAACTACCCATCAATATCAAATGTCCCACAGTGACTGTTCCAAACTTCTACACTCAAGCCACAAATACAATAATCTTCTTCTTCCTTCCTCTTGGCAAATTTTACCAGATGCTTCACTGAAAAAAAAAATTGATCTACTCTCTCCTGTTTCACAATGCAAATGACTTCATTATCATCCTGTATATTCTTTGTTCTTCTGAGGAAAGGATGGCTCTTGTTGCTAATAACAACTCATCTACTTGTGACTGTGGCTCTATTCCCTCTTACCTCCTCTAGAAGCTTGGCCCTTGTATTATCTTCTCTCTTCTTCCTCCTCTATCTTTCCTTGCTTCCTTCCTTCCTTGAACCTCTCTTCTTCGCTGCCCAAATATGCTCCAGATTTTAGAAAACTTTCACTTCACCATACCATTCTTTCAAGCTATTGCTTTGTATTTCTCCTCTCTTTCACAAATACGTAGAAAACGCTACCCATATTTTGTTGCTAACAATCTCACCTCCCACTCATTTCTCAATGTTTGGCCTTTATTCCTCACCACTCAATTGAGAGTGCTCTCCAATGCTAAGGATCTCATCTTGTTAAATACAATGGCCTTTTCTCACTCCTTATTCTTCTTGACTTCTCTGGTTTTGCTGACCATTTCTTCATCTTCTAAATACTCATTTCGCCTTGGATTATTATTATTTTTTTTGTTAATTCTGCTCTACCTTGGCCTTCTTCTTCTGAGTCTCCTTTGCAAGATTGTCATACAAGTCCCAGTTTCAAATTAAGACTTTTCCTTGGGCCCTCTGTATTCCCACATTAGCTTCAATGGATTCAGCTATCACTAATATGCATATAAACTCAAATCTACAAATCCAGTTCATCTCTTTCCAGAATTTCAATCAATCAACAAGAAGTATTAAGTTCCTACTATGCGCCAGGAACTGTGCTAAGTAGTGAGGATACAAAAACAAATATGAAAGAGTTCCTGACAACAAGCAGCTTATGCCCCAAAGGGAACACCATATACATCTTAAATACATGTAAAATAAATACAAGGTAATTTCAGGGACAGTTATTTGCAGTTGAACAGGGAAGTAAAGATAATGAAGAAATAAAGGCCTCATACATGGTGCTGGCACTAAGCACTGAAAGAAGCTAAGGATTAAGAGGTGGAGGTTAAGAAGGAATTAATGCCAGGTATAAGAAACAGTTTGCATAAAGGACATACAAAAGATGGTAGATTGTTATGCATAAGGAAGAGCAAGAAAATCAATTTGGCTGGACCATTATGTGTGTGAAAAGAAGTAATAAGCATGGAAAAATAGGGTGGAACCAGATTGTGAAGGGCTTTAAATGACAAACTGAAGGAACTGACTGTTGCAATTGTCCAAATGCAAGATATCTGAACAAGGGTAACAGCTATGAATGGTAAGAAGATGGATTCAAGAGCTATTGTGGAGATAGTAGAATATATAAAACCTGGCAACTAACTGGATATATTATGTGAGGTAAAGGAGAATGGGGGATTGATGTATCCAAAACCACACAGACTGGTAAGAAAGATGAGCTCTGCTTTGAATACAATGAATTGGAGATATATATGTGATATTCAGTTTGAAATGTCCAAGATACAGTAGGATTGGAGCTCAGGAGAAAGACCAAAGCTAGATATAAAAATCTGAGAATAAGCTATGTAGAAATGACTGAACTTGGGAATGGACGAGGTCCCCACTAGAGAACATAGAAAGAAATGATAAAATACCCTAGAGTAGAGTCCTGGAGTTTATTGATGTTTGGGGAGTAGGATATGCATGATGATTCAGCCGAGGAAGCTAAAAATGGATAGGTGGGAGAGAACCAAAAGAGAGCAGCCTCATGAAAACCCAGAGAAGAAAATACCTAGGAGGGTGGTCAATAACATCAAATTCTACAGAAATCAAGAAGCTCCTGTCAAGACTTTAGCTCAAGTGAAACTTCCTTAAAGAAGTCTTTCCTGATATCTTGTTAGTTCCACTCTTCCCTGAAATTTCCCTCCAAATGCTTTCTTAATACCTCCACCTGGCTGTTCTTCACAGGGGTCTCCAACTCAACATGTCCAAAACCAAATTAGTTTTCTTTTCCCTTAAATCTATTCCTTCCCCAACTTCCTTTTTTTTTTTTTTTTGGTTAAAAGGTACCACCAGTCTTCAGTCAGTCTGGTTCAAAATCTAGGAGCCATTCGATTCTTTACTCTCCCTCCCCATATATAATGTCTTATCAATTTTACCTTAAAATTTGCCATTTATCTCTTCTACTGCCTCTACAATCACACTAGTCCAGGCTCTTATCACCCTAATTACTTAAAGTTTTCTTATATGTCTCCCTTTACCACATCTCTCCCGTCTCCAATCAATCTTTCACAAAGTCGCCAAACTGATGGTCCTAATGAACAGGACTTCCAGTATCCTTCCCTTCCTTGCTCAAAGAGTTTTCAGTGGCTCCCTGTTTCTAGAGTTTAAAAAAGAAAACCCCAAACTGCCTTTAAAAAAGACAAAACAGGGGCGGAGCCAAGATGGCGGAGT